GGAGGGAGGGAGGGAAGGAGGAAAAACTGTAACCATGAGGACTAGTAACTTGAAGACAAAATGGTGTGTGTGGGGGCAATAGCTCAACGTTAACCAAATAATGTAAGAATGGGTGGACTGAAAGGTGAAGAAGGAAGTGCATTTACAATAGAGCAGTGTTGTCCAAACTTGGCCACTTTAAGATGAGTGGACTTCAACTCCCAGAATTCTCCATGGCTGGCTGGGGAATTCTGGGAGTTAAAGTGGCCAAGTTTGGACAACACTGCAACAGAGATTCCCCCCCAACCGCCCCAGTTGTATTTGTCCTTTAATTCTTCATCTTTTGGTCCTGGGACCCCTTTCCTCCTGTCTCAGAGCCTTTTCCTATCTGACCTGATAACGGTGGGGATGACTTCAGCAGCAAAGAAGATGCTGAGTGAGCCAGCTGCGTGGGAGCTGAAGAGGCCGAGAATGGAGAACGTTCTTCGTGCAGCGTTGTTGAGATCTGCAACGGGAGACGAAACGGAAGGTGTGAGATGACAAAGGGTTACAGAAGGGAGGGAACCTGGCACCTCCTAAGTATTTTGAACAAGAGCTTCCACAATCCCCTGACCCTTGGCTGCATTGGCTGGGGGTGCTGGGAGTTGTAGTCCAACATCTGGAGAGCCACAGGTTCCCCAGCCCAGAATGAGCCACAAACAAGCCATTTGTACTTATTCCACCAGAGAGAGAAAAGGCTTTTGATAAAGTGAATGGGAAATTCCAGTTTCTTTAATTATTCTTTCAAATTTTTCTTTTCGCCAGGAAGGCTTAAAACAGATTTTATTTTTTAAATTCTTCCTCTAAAATTTAAGTGATGATTAGCAGGATGTTATCTAATCCCTTTCTATTGGAGAGACGAATATTGTCTCTCCCTTTTATCCTTTAATAGGTGTGGTTAGGCAGAATAGCAAGATTTATGGCTTGACTCCTGCAGACAATAAATAGAAAATAGCCCTTTTTGTACATGATCTTTGCCATAAACTTATTTATTTTACTTATACACAGATTTATATCCTACCCTACTTCAAATGACTTAAGGTGGTTTATAATACAAACGTGAGCTAATATAATACATATTTACGATATAACCTTGAGTTAATAAAATTAATTTATGGCATTGAAGCCTTTTTTTTATTATAACTAGAAACTGGGCTCAGTCTGGCATTACTCTTCATAAAAATCCATTTTCTCTGGTCCATTTTAATGACATCCAGAGACCATCACTGACCTTGGGCCAAGGGTACCTAGACATATACATCTCAGACAATTAAACTGAATTTAAATATATCATGTATCCAATAAATTTGACAGACAGGCCTCACTTAGAATTACCCAGGATTTTTTTTGATTAAAACAAACTTCCTGGCTTCGTTGCTTGGGTCAG